CCTCCGCACGTCGCAAGCCGCATGCCGGCGCCCTGAACCGAGTCAGCCCGTAGGCCGCAGCGTTGGCTGTTCGAAAACAGGCGCGCGCAAAAAAAAAAAATAATAATAAATAAATAAATAAATAAAATATGCGCAAAGGCTGGTACACCAAGCGGCGCTGCGGCCGGACGTCTTTGCGGCATTCTTGGGAGCGCATCCGCCCACCAAGCTGCGGCTAGTCGCTCCGCGCTGGCACGCCTTAGGCCGCCAGAAGCAGCTGGCGTGCCGTAGCCGACTCCCTTTCACGCGCATCTGGCTCCGGCAACAGGAAGGAGTGCTGTCCAAACTGCCCGATGTTGCTCCGCTGCATAGGTGACCGAGTGTGGCACCGTGCGCAAACCGTGTTGGGCACGTGGGCTGGCGCAATGAAGCAAGAGCATCCACGCGCTCTGCATGTCAGCCAGTGCCTGCAGCTCTGACAGCATGCGGCGCTCTGCCTCCAGTCTGGCGGCGCGCGAGTCAGGGCGCAAGCTGCATGTTCGTGGCCCGAGTGGCCAACTGCCGCAGCCCGCACGCGCGACACGCTGCCCCGTGATTCGTCGCCGCCGCCCGCTTTGCACACTGCAGGATGATGTCCTGCGGCCTTGCACGGCTGCTGCAACATAAGCCCGGGCACGTCACAACGGCTACGGTCAATGAAGGGGCTAAAGTGACCCAAACCGGGGACGTGGCGAAACCCACTCCGCGGGTTGTATCTTTGCGTGCTGCCGAGCTACTGCACGACGCAGCCCCCCCACTCCGAGCCGCTTGGGTCCGTATAGTTTGCGGTTCGGACTCGTTTGCGCAGTCGTGAAAATTGCGTGGAATTTTGTTTTTTGTTTTTTTTTCACGGACCTTTTTGCACCCTCTGTCGCAGTCGGCGGTTGCAGGCTACGTCCTACAGGGAAAACGCGAAGGGGACACCACACCGCCCGTGAACGAAGAGGGCGAGCTTCACGGGGCGGGGAGACGACTTGCGGGCACTGCCTCGGCACCACGGGCATCCGCCAGTAGGTCGCCCAGTAGCGGCTCGGTGCCGTCGCATTCGTCCGCTACCTTGTTCCTGATCATGGGTCTCGGGTGCCTGCTGCACACGTCGGCGCAGCCTTCCACCCTATGACCTCCATACGGGCCATATAACGGCAGGCGGTGCTGCGTCGGACTTCCGGGCATCATCGGTCCTTTCACCGCTCGTGCATCATTGCCGATGCCGTGTACGACCTCACCATCCTTGGCGCCTTTTTCTGGGTGTTGCTCCTCCAACGCGTGCGCCTGCCGTTGCAAATTGCACAGCTGCCCGTGGGCTTCTGGACCTGTTCACGACCACCACTCCACATTCGTGTGTGGCGAGGCTGGCGCACAGGCTGCACGGTATGCGCGTGGCTGCCGGAACCTGACGCACCGATCAAATCCGGTCAGCGACGACAGGCGCATCGAGGTCGTCGGCAATAGCCTCCTCATGTGGCACACTCCCAGTTTGCGCTGACGAGGAAGGGCGAGGCCCAACCCCGGGTTGATGTGCAGCTTGCCGTTGCCG